GAATGAACCTCAAGCACAATATCACTAGCAATAATCACATCCCAAGACTTAGCTAGCTTCAAAGAGTCTACCAACTTCTTTTCCATAATTGAACACAATTTCGTAGTCCATCTTTTAGATTCAGCTCTTCTATTAGACAATTGAGTCATGATTTGAACCCTAATCATATTAACCATACAAGTAATAGGCAACTCACAGGCCCCACCAATCCAATTATTATAAGACTCGGCAGCATTAGATGACATCTCACCATATCGTTTCCCTCTAAAAAATGCATTGACCCACGTATCATTTTGCAAACCATCCAACATACTATCAACTCTACCATTCCCAGCAATACGCCTCAATTTCTCCATATAATGTTGGAAAGAAGCAACAGTTGGCACATAAGCACATTTAACTAATATTTTCATCAAACTCAGCTTATAGTTGGTATGAAGTCCCACCAATTTGTCAATCAAATTTCTCTTCAAATAATTCAAGCAATATGCATGATGTGCATTGGGAAAAACCACTGAAAGAGCGTCTAGCAATCCATGTTGACGGTCAAACTTAAAGGTTAATCTCCGGCCTGAACCAATAGCCTTTAACAACTGACTTAAGAATCATATTCAATTATTTTGATTTTCAACGTCAATAATCGCAAAAGCCAAAGGAAACCGACCTGCAAACAAAATAACATGAAACTGCAAAAACTAGCAGACTCACAATACAATAACACACTGACAAACCAAACCTATACTAACTGCAAATAAATACATACCTTGATTACCATCATTTGATGTTGCTGCAAGCAAATGCCCATTGTAACGCCCCTTTAAGAATGTACCATCAACAAACAACGGACGACAAAATTGAAAGCCATACAAACATTCATGAAATGCCACAAACAACCTCCGAAAACAGCCACTACTTTCATCCACATCTAATTCAAACACACTTCCCAGATTTGTTCTTATAGCCGTCTCAAGGTACCATCGAAGTTGGTCAAAAGAAGTTGCAAAATCACCAAACAACCCACCTCTTGCCTTATCAACTCCTAACCATGCAACCCGATAAGAAACATCTATACCATATTGCTTCTTCAACTTTTTTTTAACTTCAATAGGACGAGTCAATGGATTATCACTAATATCATTATGCACAATATCAGATACAAGTCTAGAACCAACCATTTTGTTACAAGATTTACGAGCGACAACCCCATAAGTATGCACATTATCCAGCTTCATTATAAAAAAAATACTGGAATTCATCAACACCCTTCTATGCACAAACCATTTACAACCCGTGACAACTTCATCATACATTCAGTAGTTACTCTTGTTGCATCGTTCTTCAAATAATTCACTGCAAAAGCACACTCAACTGCATACTTAGCCAATGCAATGCGGAACGCCGGCACTACACCTTCAAATTCTTGACCAACACTATATATAATCCCCTTCCAACTAGCAGACAACAAAACTTTCTCTGGTTCTGGATAAAAACTAGACAACAAACCACCAAAGTCATCACAATCGTTTATCAAAGAACTCTCACAAATTACAGAATCAATTCTACAAGAATTATCATCATCAACTTCCACAATTCTCTTATCACCCACAACAACATCAACAACATGAGAACCACTACAACCTACTATTGACAGCATATTCCTCAAATCATTATCACATTCAACAATACAATTAGAATATCCAGGAATGGAGAAAAACAAACAAAAGTTACCAACACTCAACGATTTAAACTTCGCAGATATTTTTTCAACAACTTCATGAAAATACGTCCCTCACTAATCTTAATAGCAGCACAAGAATTACTGTATTTGCACATTAACATGAAACATCCCTCCATACTACAAAATCACAAACCAGCAAACAATTGTTCACAATTCCAAATTGTAAAATTATACAGTTACAACATATCAGTACCAACAATGCACAATTCACAATTCACAATTCCAAACTGTAAAATTATACAGTTACAACATATCAGTATCAAAACATCAAAATTTACAATTTCAAACTACAACTTCAAAACACATTACACTATACAACAAACAAAATCAACAAAATCAAAATCATTACACTATATTACATACAAAAATTACAAAATAAGTATCAAACAAACAAAATTTATCACAAAACAAAGAACCACTACTACAAAAATAGATAAAGATCATACTTTTTTGTGTGATGTATATTATTTAATCACACCTTTTAAGCTTTATTAAAGTGTGATCTTTGGGAGTGTGATTAAAAATGGTCATTTTTAATCACACTTTTTTTGTGTGATGTATGCTATTTAATCACACCTTTTAAGTTTTATTAAAGTGTGATCTTTGGGAGTGTGATTAAAAATGATCATTTTTAATCACACTTTTTAAGTGTGCTTAATAACATTTAGTTCACACCTTTTAAGAGTGATTAAAAATATTTAGATCACATCTTTTAGGTGTGATTAATAACATTTAAATCACACATTTTAAAATCACAAACCAGCAAACAATTGTTCACAATTCCAAACTGTAAAATTATACAGTTACAACATATCAGTACCAACAATGCACAATTCACAATTCACAATTCCAAACTGTAAAATTATACAGTTACAACATATCAGTACCAACAATGCACAATTCACAATTCACAATTCCAAACTGTAAAATTATACAGTTACAACATATCAGTACCAACAATGCACAATTCACAATTCACAATTCCAAACTGTAAAATTATACAGTTACAACATATCAGTACCAACAATGCACAATTCACAATTCACAATTCCAAACTGTAAAATTATACAGTTACAACATATCAGTACCAACAATGCACAATTCACAATTCACAATTCCAAACTGTAAAATTATACAGTTACAACATATCAGTACCAACAATGCACAATTCACAATTCACAATTCCAAACTGTAAAATTATACAGTTACAACATATCAGTACCAACAATGCACAATTCACAATTCACAATTCCAAACTGTAAAATTATACAGTTACAACATATCAGTACCAACAATGCACAATTCACAATTCACAATTCCAAACTGTAAAATTATACAGTTACAACATATCAGTACCAACAATGCATTTTTGTGTGATGTATGTTATTTAATCACACCTTTTAAGTTTTATTAAAGTATGATCTTTGGGAGTGTGAATTTTTAATCACACTTTTTTTGTGTTATATATGTTATTTAATCACACTTTTTAAGTTTTATTAAAGTATGATATTTGAGAGTGTGATTAAAAATGGTCATTTTTAATCACACTTTTTAAGTGTGATTAATAACATTTAGATCACACATTTTAAGAGTAATTAAAAATATTTAGATCACATCTTTTAAGTGTGATTAATAACATTTAGATCACATCTTTTAAGTGTGATTAATAACATTTAGATCACACATTTTAAGTGTGATTAAAAATTTTTAGATCACATTTTTTAAGTGTGATTAAAAATATTTAGATCACATCTTTTAAGTGTGATTAATAACATTTAGATCACATCTTTTCGATGTGATTAATAACATTTAGATCACATATTTTAAGTGTGATTAAAAATATTTAGATCACATCTTTTAAGTATGATTAATAACATTTAGATCACATCTTTTAAGTGTGATTAATAACTAATAAAATCTGTGATAAAAATAGGGTTCAACATATTGAAAAATAATCAATATTATTTTTGTATGCACATTTGCATAATGTAATACACACTATATACTATACTTTGAATCATAACCACATATTGAATGGAATAACGTTATATATTTCATAAATGAAATTAAATGTTCAAAAGTATATACAAAAGAATTAAATAAAAAAAAATTAATTGTTCTTACATATATTAAAAAATGAAAAAACTTAAAAAACTAAATTCTTTAATTCTTTGACCCATATTTTGCATCTCTCCAAAAAATTTCTAACCTGAAAAATGAAAACACTAATTAATTCAGAAACCGCAGAAGCATATGAATAAACTAATTATTTATAAAGACTATTTTAATCTTACAAAAGATACAGTTGGACTTTTTCTCATCACACTGACTTTTCATCTCATGCTTCAATAGAAAAAGAATAACCACTTTGATTGAATAATCAATTCTCATGAAAAAAATGGACCAAATATCTTACGATAGCTGAGTATGAACTATGAGGGCAACAATGCTCAGGAGTAGGAATAGGGTTATGCAAACATTTTATCTGTGCCCTTAAATATAGGAAAACTCATGTGTTAAAAGATTTCAGTAGTTAACTCATCATCAGACATGAGCATGCAGACAAATTAATAGCCAGAAGAGAGTTGTATAGTTAATAAAACCTTATACAGCTAAGGAAATAAAAGTATCAAGCTGTTAATAAAACCTTATGCTCAAATATAAACCAAATCTACATGTTCATATGTATGGTTAGGTATTTCCATCTGACTTATGATGGTGTGAGTTCAGCACAATATTGACACCTATAAATGGTTGCCTCATAGGATGGGGTATATACCCAAAAGAAAAGAATCCACACAGACCAGGAAGAGGGACAGACAAGCAAATCCGATAAATATACCAAAATGAAAAGGGGAAAAAAAAAAAACTAATATGCAACTTACTAAGTGCAACTATAGCAAGCGCTAATGCATTACTTTCTTTTACTTCAACAGCTTTAGGATTTATTTCATTTAAACCCTACACTCAAAATGTGCAAGAATCATGAATATACTAATCAGAACAACAAACACAATTGCAATTAGAGCAAAAGGAAGCTCCCATTGCTGTGAATCCAAATTTGATCCAATTAGAAAATCCAATTCAACCCAAATACAACAGTTACCAGTTTTAAGGAGATTACACAATAATTAATTTTAAAGTCACTTACCAACAGATCCTCATTTTGGTCAGTTGATATCAACGGTGGAACTTCCTCCTCCTTAGGCTCAGGCTCAGGCTCAGTCTCTTGTTGTGTATCTACCAATGTTTCTTTATCTTCAGCTTCTTCAACTTCTTGTTGTTCACTTTTTTCAAGGCAGCTTGCTCAGGTTCTTCACTTGTGTCCTCATACTCCTATGTTGTTGTTAACAACCGAATCAACACAAATATTCCACAAATAAACAATGTCAATACCGTGCTCATTCTGACATCAACATTCAACTTACACAAAATTTACAAATCAACCATACAAACTAGGCCTCATTTTAACACAAATACTTTGGACTAGGAAGGACAAGCAAAAAAAAAAACATTACAAATTGGTCAATAACATATTGTAAACAACTGTGCTTCATAATACCCACATCCATGGTAACAAACAAAAAATTCTGAGCACATGGTGCCAGCACTTGAAATATTGGAACATTATATGTTGAAATGTAGTTTTATGTAAAAATAAAATAAAACTAATAGAATTACATTACATAGTGCTTGAACTAACAATTTGCCAACAAATTCTACCAGTTGATGTCTGAACATTGAAATATCATAGGAAATCAAACCTAAATGCTCCAGTTTATTTTACAAGTTTATTATTAATTTGGGTCACTCTAATCTAAGGTCTTAACAAAACATGAAATAGTTCATATTCATCTAATGCAAAGTGGATATACAAGAGACCAACACATTTTAAAATAATGAAGACCTTGACAAAGCTAACATATAAAAGTCAAGTTGACTACTTTTTGGTCACATAAATCAATGAATTATATAAAAAAAATAAAAAATAAAAATAAAAATCAAACAAAATATTTTCAAGGATCATAGAAATCTAAGTTTGGCTTAGGCAGTTAAGAAACCAATCACATATCAATAAAGAATCACCGTGAAGATTGATAAAAAATTATAATAACTCGGCAACTAACATTAGTAAGATAAAACCATACAAACTAGGCCTCATTTTAACACAAATACTTTGGACTAGGAAGGACAAGCAAAAAAAAAAAAAACATTACAAATTGGTCAATAACATATTGTAAACAACTGTGCTTCATAATACCCACATCCATGGGAACAAACAAAAAATTCTGAGCACATGGTGCCAGCACTTGAAATATTGGAACATTATATGTTGAAATGTAGTTTTATGTAAAAATAAAATAAAACTAACAGAATTACATTACATAGTGCTTGAACTAACAATTTGCCAACAAATTCTACCAGTTGATGTCTGAACATTGAAATATCATAGGAAATCAAACCTAAATTCTCCAGTTTATTTTACAAGTTTATTATTAATTTGGGTCACTCTAATCTAAGGTCTTAACAAAACATGAAATAGTTCATATTCATCTAATGCAAAGTGGATATACAAGAGACCAACACATTTTAAAATAATGAAGACCTTGACAAAGCTAACATATAAAAGTCAAGTTGACTACTTTTTGGTCACATAAATCAATGAATTATATAAAAATAAATAAAAAATAAAAATCAAACAAAATATTTTCAAGGATCATAGAAATCTAAGTTTGGCTTAGGTAGTTAAGAAACCAATCACATATCAATAAAGAATCACCGTGAAGATTGATAAAAAATTATAATAACTCGGCAACTAACATTAGTAAGATAAAAAATAAAAAATAAAAAAAAAGCCCCATTTGCTAGAGCTAAAATGGTTCCAACTTTCAAGATAAATTGATTTCCTTTACTCTTATTTCTCAAAGAATCAATATATGAAAAGACTTAGAAGAGATTAAACATTCAAAATAAACTTTCTATTTTCAGATTATGAAAATTGAAAACTGTTGGACAATCTTCACCGTATTTAAAAGGATTTAATTCTGTTGTGTACAAAACAACAACCAGAATAAAAGAAATAGAGAAAAAGGAGAGAATATGTTTGATTACAAAAATCAAACTCGAAATAAAAATAAATAAATAAAAAACAAACAGATTTTATTTTGTTACAGTTATATATAACAACCCTTAAAAGAATAACAAAAAATAAAGTGAGAAATATAAAATGCACCTAAAAGAGAGGGCCAAAATGAAAGTGATGGCAGGAACAAGATTGGTCATGGCAATAGCAAAGGTTGTTAAGGTTAAAACCATACTACCCATGTCAGATTACCGTAATTGCTTTATTATAGAATAAATGCAGCTTACCCAAGTAATCCACAAAGAAATGCTTGGCAAGCTGCTACCCATGTCAGCTTTGACATACTTTTCCTGTAATAAAAAAAATTCAAATAACTGTCAAAATGAAATTTTAAATCAATACATTACCCACCCATATATATATATATATGAATTGTAGATAATCTTAACACCTATATTTGTCCTCTTATTATAATTTTCTTCCCTAGACCACTGGTTTTTCCTATTCTTGAGATGAACTGTCAAGGAGCCCAGAGAAATAGGAATATGATTTACTAAACTACCTTCTCACCCAAAAAATTAAACCAATCAAACAATTTTTCAAGAACACATGATATCAAAATTTTCCTTCTTCATCATCATTAAATAGGCCAATGTACAATAGAATTTATTACTCTAACATATACCGTAATTTAGTTGACAGTATGTAAAGACCAAAAGCTAAGCTCATGAGCTTCCTGATTTACAAAATCATTACTTCACTCAGGTATGCATAAGAAATAAAAGAAGGTTCTAGCCATATCTTTATATATAGGTTTGAAGCAATTAAAGAATGCAAAAGAAACACTATGCACCTGCAAGAATGGCTTTGAAAGCATTGCAACAAGAAGTTTACTAAGAATCTGCAAGACTTGATTTCTGATATACTATGATTAGAAACCCATCAAAAGTAAAACCAGTATAATGAAAAATAATGATCGACCATTTAATTTTAGCTTCCATGATATATAAAATTATATGAAATCTATCCAAAAGTAAAGCAGTAGAATGAAAAATAATGATTGAAAACTATATGTTAGATGCTTTGCCTTTGGAAATTTGAATACATACCAAAGCAGCATGTTCCTCCTATATGCGCATCAAATACTGTCGTGATTCTCCCTTGCATTCTGCAAGCTTTTGGTCACATTTGCTTTCCATTTCTTGAACAGCTTTATCAGCCTGAAGGTGAAGCATGCAAGCAACATGATTCACAACTTCTAGCCATATCTTTATATACAGGTTTGAAGCAATTAAAGAATGCAAAAGAAACACTATGCACCTGCAAGAATGGCTTTGAAAGCATTGCAACAAGAAGTTTACTAAGAATCTGCAAGACTTGATTTCTGATATACTATGATTAGAAACCCATCAAAAGTAAAACCAATATAATGAAAAATAATGATCGACCATTTAATTTTAGCTTCCATGATATATAAAATTATATGAAATCTATCCAAAAGTAAAGCAGTAGAATGAAAAATAATGATTGAAAACTATATGTTAGATGCTTTGCCTTTGGAAATTTGAATACATACCAAAGCAGCATGTTCCTCCTATATGCGCATCAAATACTGTCGTGATTCTCCCTTGCATTCTGCAAGCTTTTGGTCACATTTGCTTTCCATTTCTTGAACAGCTTTATCAGCCTGAAGGTGAAGCATGCAAGCAACATGATTCACAACAAAAAGAAATTGCAACTAACGAAGATTATGACCATACCTTTTCTTTCTCAATATTGACACCCTCCAGCTTCCCAACTTCAAACCTCCTGCGGATATCATTAATGGCCTGATGGAAACTCCACCAGAGTCAATCAAAGAAGCTCGCTCATTGTTTACAAATATAAAGTACACAGTGAAAGGTGGCACCTGGTCATTTTTCTGAGATAATTCTTTCAAATGCCTTGACAATTCTAATTGTTTACTTTCTAGCATCAGATCGTATTGCTTCTTTGCATCTGCAAGTTGCTTCCAAATGCTTGATCATAGCATCTATGTGAAAAACAAGAAGCAAGTCTACTAATAAAAATTTAGATACCAGAAAGGAGTAGAAACTTACCATAACAAACCGCAGCTAAATCAGGAAATTTGTAATTGATAAGTGAAAACTTTCCTAAAACAGAAAATACACAAAATTGACAGCCTAAACAAATGCATTTGCGCAAAAGCCAACTTAGGTCACAACAAAGTTGTGTGTTGTTCGTTGGGCCATTTTCAGTCAACAACCTCCATAAAATTGCATAAATATGGTTTAAAGTTAAGTTCCCATAAGAACTGTTATGGACAAAGATATAGAAAACAAGATTTTATGTCAAGTCAATATTATGTTGAGTATCTCAATGAGAACCAGCTTGAGTCATGACAAACTATTAAATTGATCAAACTTCAGTGTACTTATCTGGAGCAAAAAGAATACAAACCAAAAGATGGTCCCCAATTCCCAAATCAATCTTTTTGGGAGCATAATAGCTGGAGATAACCAATACATCAAAATCAAGTTATATTGTAAGATCATATTTAGAAATACAATCCAAATGAAAAGTAAACCATAGATGACACCCTGGATTCAAAAGATGCGTTACTAGGGAAGATAGCCATAACCTCTAGAGAAGTATACTCATCTTGTTGACAATTAGCATCCATGTTCATTCCATGTGTAAAATCCATATTCTCCCTTCCTGCATATGTGGCATGTAATAATGAAATTTTAAGGATAAAGTGATCCTTTGAGTGGAAGAAGTTTATTATGATATGAATCAGAACTGCATCACCACTTGGAGAATCAGTACTCTTGCAGCCGACATTTATTATTCTTCTGAACTTCTCGTCTCACATCCATATAACCTATTCCTGTACAGTTGGCATGGAGATATGAATTATATTTACTGATACCATTTTTGCATAAACTTCAAAGTGATGCTCTTAATAATCCTCTTACAATGTCTTACAATTTTGTTGCCCTGACATGCATTCTGGTTGCTTATTCTATGTCTAGAATGACTATCAGTTTATGAGTCCTATGAACTATCTATCACTACAATATGGTCCTATGAACTATCTATCACTACAATATGGTCTAGATAAAAACTGATACATCGTCAATATTATTTTAAAATGTCTTCCCAAAGCTTATAAGAATAATATACTGATATGAGACCATTCCATATTTACTCTGTTAAATTTCGTTAAATTTTTTAAATGTACATAAGAAATTCAATTTTTAAAGTTATGGGCAAAATTCTGGTGTTGTGTTCTGGGTTTGTAGACCCACTCAAAAATAATTGCATGAGAACAATCCTGTTCAATATATGTTAGCTCCTCTTAATGCCTTTTTCATATCATAGGCCTTTTTTGGCAAAGAGGTTAAAAGTAATATTTTTTAAAAGTCAAAAAATTAGTTTTTAATCTACTTCCCAAAACAAATATATATATATATATATATATATTAATTTTAATTTTCATTGGCAAAGGAAATTGAAATTCTAATATTAGAAAATAATAAAAACAAACGGATTACAAGGAATGGAACACCAAGAACCAAGCTAAGGGAGAGTAGCTCCATCATAGCTTAGCAAACACATCTCAACCAGATTGATATCCAAAACCAAACGAAATCATATGGGAATTTCTAGATTTTTGTACTGACATTTTCATTTCTAGTTAACAAACAAACAAAAAATTTGGGTGGGGAATCTTATCGTGCATGCTCTGCTTTTAATGGAATCTCTTCCCCATAAACTACCAAACATTACTAATACATCCCCCTCTCCTCTTTAATATCTCTATATGGCAAAAAGGTTGACCAAATGATAATTTAAGATTGTAGTTTTGGGTGATTAATTTAACTATTGTCATCATCATCATTGGTAGGTAAAATTGGCTCTCGTTTTCTTGAGAACCTCTACCTACCTTATGTGCTCTATGCAAAGTAGTATCATGTAATTCAGGTTCAGTTGTTTGTTGAATCAGTTGGCCTCAGTTTGTTCTAGTCTGGTTTGGTGTGATGATGCAAACTCAATTTCCAAATTAAACTACTAATCCAGTCTAGTTGTAGGGTATTGGTGGCTCCAACACTGCTTTGAACCCCTACCCCCACCACACCACACCACACCACACCACTTACAAAAAGCAATAGAGGAGGTTATTTGGTGGTCTTACCACATTGCTACTAGGGTTCAAAAAACTAACAAAAATAAAAGTGATAGGGTTTAACTATTTATTTTAAACCAATAAAAATCCCAAGTTAGAGTGCCACATGCCAAATCAATTAATGAGGATTCATCCATTCTGTGCTAAAAAACACAATTTAGGACAGACAAATCAATTAGGTTGGATAACTTGTTATAGTTTCCATGGAGAGCAAAGCTAGACGAGCAAGCGACAGAAAGGCAAAGTTGAAGGTACCGGCTCTTAGGTTTTGCTGGCATAGAGGCTGCATTCCTTCCACTACACTCCTAAATGTGAAGTCATACCTTAGTTTACCCAGAATAAGTGATATTCGGAACTTTGATCGCCAGTGTCATTAAGTCTAACCTTTTTAGTATTCATTTTTTTTCCAACTCTTTCTTGTTCTCCATGGATATATATATATATATATATATACACACACTTCTCCAATTGTGCTCAAGTCAAAAAAGTTTTTTCCAAAATCAAAACCTCATCATACTTGACCATAGAATAGAGAAACAACAGATATCAAACACTAATCATGAATAGAAACACCAGGAAAAAAAATTGTAAATGCAAGAATGTGAATTAGATCAAACAAAATCCTTTTCATGGACACATCCAAATGAGCCAGAAATAGTAACAGACAATACCATGCCAAAACAATAAAAATTACACCAATAAAGTGTTTGAATCAATGAAAAGTTGAATAATTATCATATAGTCATAAATGAAATGCTTAGCAAAAACATCACAAGTTGATCAAACCTACACCAGGAACACATGTAGCTGATGATGAGAATTTGGGTCAACTGTATTAGGAACCATTAGGTATGTTAACCTCAAAGTGTTTTCATGCAGCTTTTTTGGTCAAATCTATCATCCTAGCACGCAGGAAATTCAGAAAGGCGGCAAAGATGAGATGTTTTGAAGCAAATTCATGCAGGATGATGTGAAAATTCTTAAATGAAGAAACCGTATAGACACATTTTAACCTCTTTGGGGTTAAGGATCTATTTTCAATGAATTCATATTTAAGTTCTAAACCTGTTTCCTTCCAACAAGAGAGAAATTTGACCGAAAAATTTAAAATTCTGAAATACTGATGACAAATTGAGTAAAATGATATCAGTGAACTAGTTTTCAGAGGTTACTTCATATTAGGAAGTTCAACGAGCAATTGTAGGGCACCAGAATCCCCACAGGCCTTCCATGTTACAGCTCGAACTTCTCCATTAGATGGTTGCTTCTCTCCATCAGAACTAACAAGCTTCAGAGAAAAAACAAAAAATTTGATTAGGATTCAACAACAAAGAAATTAAATAGCTGAAGCAAACGAATTATAAAAGTAACTAATAAGAACCCCTTTATCAAAGAAATGTTCACATCCAACCAACTGAATACAAGAATTACTGAGACACAACTGAATACAAAAAGCAAAAGGCAACATAAACATCCAACCATAGATGAGAATAGGTACTGCTTAAGAAGCCACACACACCTCTTGCAGCAATGATGAAACTTGATAAATTTCATCTTCCTGCTTGGCTATTGTCCTCAAGTTAGTGAAGAAATCTTTAGGGAAAACAAGCTTTTTTACGTAAGAAGGCATCTTGCGCTGCCCACACCAACTATAGTTGCAAAATCGATCAATGGCGCATTTATCATTACTTTCTTTCTGTGGTGAGGATGGTGGAAAAAAAAATCATGATCCATCAAGCTTCTAGGTAAAAGACACCTCAGTTCAGCCTTCTGCAGAAACAATCAAGTTTGTTAATGAAGCAAATATTCATATGTACAAACAGATATATACACATAATATGCTGATGCATTAACATACTCATATACAAAACTTGCATCACTTTACTATAGGAATCAAAATAATCCTAAAAAAGGCATATATTATTGAAAAAATTACAAAAGAAAAATACAGAGAATAAGTTAAGATTGTTTAAACAGTTAACCTCTGCTTCAAGAAGCTGTACTTTGGATTCAGAAAAGGGGACACTCTCAATAGCCTGTAAAGGATAATGAACCTGTAGTTCATTTATGTCAATAAGATTTAAATCAACTAATTATAAGTAAAAAATAAAGTAACAGTTTACACAAATAAATAAATAAATAATACATCTGAGATATAAATAAATAAATAAATAAGTCAAAAATCCTTCTGATCTCCGTAGCAAATTAGAACAAACCCATCAAACTTTTCAGTGTTTTAATCAGAAAAAAAGGGTACCAAATTAGAACAAACCCATCAAACTTTTCAATGTTTTAATCAGAAAAAAAAATCAAAAAAAATGCAAAATTTACAGTACCTTTTGGGAAAAACACAACAGATTTGTTCTTTTGAAGAAGCTTTCTATCAAAACAACCTTCATATTTCTAGTATTATTTTCTATCATTCTTTCTTATGAACTAAACAGAAAATCATATACATATATAGAAGAGTAAGAGCATATATGTATATGTTACCAAGTGAAGTTCCATCAAAGCCATAGAGCTCATTCATTATCGTCGACTTCCCTACCCTAGGTAGTCCGATCACCCCAATCACCGTGAAATCAGTATTATCTGTCAGAAACTATAACCAATCTCAAATTTCTCAGATTTTTATAGAAATAGAAAACCCTAGAATTGGAAAGAGAACTATTAGTCTCTGAAGTAACCTAGCCAGTCTCTATACATTCAGATAAGTTAAGAGAGAGAGAGAGAGATTACGGGAAGGATGCGATCGGCGTGGAAGTCCCAGGAATCAGAAATTAGGTTGAGAGAAGCGATGGAGGGGAGACGAGAGAGGATGGAGACGGAATCATCATCGGTGAAGGCTCCATGGAACACAAGAATTGGTGGCCGCTCTTCTCCAGCGTTACCACGATCTCCGCCAGTCGAGGTGGATAGAAGCACCCTACGTTTCTGAGGTAGACGAACACCACCGTCTCATCCTACTCTTCCCCATTTAGGCATCGCCGATGAGGTTAGGGTAGTGAGACATAATGATGAGGCTTTGGAGAGTGGTAGAGGAGCTCAAGGTTAGGGTTTCGATGAAGGCTCAGGTTGAGATGAAAATCTGTGAGACTGAGACAATGATCTGCGAGGCTGAGACGGTTTGGAGAGAGAGAGAGTGTGTGACATACAAGTGTTTAGAAAGAGAGCTACGCCCAATTCGAAGAGTGTTTCATTCGAAGATTCTTTCATTTTACCATTTGGCGCCAAACTATTTCATTTCGGTGCCTATATTTATTTTGGGTGATTATTGAGACCCCTCCAATCACCACCCCACACACACGTGGTGGGTGGTGATTGGAGAAGAAGGAAAAAAAAAAAGAAAAAGTGACCAATTAGGTGAAGAGGAGGTCAAGGGGTGGGAAAAAAATGGGATCCAAGTCATTATGGATTTATTTTGGTCATATTATTTACGACATAAATTGCGTTTCATGAAAAATAAAATATTTTTAACGGTTAGCATATGTGCGTCATGGAAAGTGTACTTTCTAACGGTTGATTTTTTGTACGTCGTAAAAAGTGCGATATTTTTAATGGCTGACTTTTGGTGCGCCGTGAAATATTCAATATTTTTAATGGCTGGTGTATGTATGTCGTGTATGGTTGATGTATTAACGGCATGCCATATGCACGTCATAAAAAGTTTTATTATTTACGGCTAACATTGCAAGCTGTAAAAAAATCATCATTATTAGAATTTACGACCTACTCAATAGACACGCCGTAGTTAATAAATTATTTACGACATGCAAAAAAAGTAACTAGTAAAAGTGAGAAACCACGGCTTGCATTTACTGTATGTCGTTAATGTGGAGACATAAAAACTTTGTTTTGTTGTAGTGCCATCTCCTTCTCCCTCTTTCTCTCTCTCTCTCTCTATATGTGCCTTTTGATGAACCCTAGCCTTATACTTTCCTTTTAATTAGAAGCAGCCAAAGAGTTAAGGGTGTGTTTGGTAATGTTTACGTTTTCAATTTATATTTATAAAAATTTTATAAACTGATTTTTGTTTATTTTTTGAAAAACATAAACTGCAAACACGTTTGGTAATTGACAAAATTTTTAAAAAATTTTAAAAATATAAAAAAAAAGTGAGAAATGGCAAGTGGTGGCAAGTGCGGGCAGAAGACGGTTAGTAGAAAGCGGTGACGGTGTGGTGGCGGGCGGTGTGTGTACGGTGGCGTGGTGGTGGGTTGGTACGATTGTGGGTTGGTGTTGTGTGGGTGGTGGGTAGTTAGTGGCAAGGTGGTGCAGTAGAACGGGTCGTGAGGGTGTGGCGGTGTGGGTGTGGTGCGGATATCGGTGGCAGGTTTGGTTTGGTGGTGGGGGTAGGTGGGTGATAGTTGATGCGTGGGTGTGGTGGCAGGTGGGTGGCGATGACGGTGTGGGGTAGGTAAAGGTGGTGATGGTGTAGGTGGATGTGGGTGAGCGGCGGTGGTAGTGGTGGTGGTGGTGATGGCGGGTGGTGGTGCGGTAGTGGTGACAGGTGGGTGGCGGATGGCGGGTGGTGGTGGTGGGTGGTGTGGTGGTGATGGTGCAGGTGGTAAGATGGTAGCGAGTGGGTGTGGTGTGATGATGGTGGTGGTTGGTGGTAAAGATGAGTGGTGGTGGGTGGTGGCAGTGCGGTGGCGTGTGATTGTGGTGTGGTGTTGTGGTGGTGTTTGTGGTGGTGGTGGCGGCCGTGTGAGTGGCTGTGGTGCGTGGGTGCGAGGTGGCAGGTGGCTGGGTTGGTGGGTGGGTGGCTGGTGGTAACAGGTGGTTGGATTGGTAGAACAGGTGGCTGGTGAATGGTAGTGGCAAGTAGGTGGGGTGGTGGGTGGTGGTGGGTGGAGTGGTGGTGGCTAGTAATGGCGGTGGGGTGTAGTGCAATGGGTGTGAGTGGTGGGCGTGGTGAGGGGTGGGTGGTGGTGTGTGCGGAAGACGGTGGTGGAAAATGGTGGTGAGTGGTGGCTAATGTTGGGGGTGGTAAAAAAAAAACTGAAAACTCAAAACGGAAACACATTTTTTGTGTTTTCATTTTTTGGTCAAATTTATAAACTGAGACCACTGATTTATAAATAAAAATTTTTACCAAATAAGTTTTTATTTGAGTTTTTAAAATTTTTGTAAATATAAATAGAAAACTGAAAACGTAAAAGTATTACCAAACGACACCTAAATGTATTTTGATTTTTTTTTTTTAATTTTATAATTTGTGTTTTGGTGTCGGGGCTTTGTTTTAAAAAAAAAATAATTTGGGAATTGTATATTTTATATAAAAATCAAATTGGAATATTTTATACAATCACAGTTATTTAGGGAGTGTGATTAAAAAGTAGTAATGTATATATAATTACACTTTAATTAGAATATGTGATTAAAAAGTAGTAGTGTATATATATATAATCACACTTTAATTAGAAGGTGTGATTAAAAATATATAAATAATCACACTTTAATTAGAATGTTTGATTAAAAAATATATATATAATCACACTTATTTAAAAAGTGTGATTAAAAAGTAGTAGTGTATATATAATCGCACTTTAATTGGAATGTGTGATTAAAAAAATATATATATAATCACACTTAATTGAAAAGTGACATAAAAAATAAATATAATCACACTCAATCAACTTAAGTGTGATTAAAATATCAATCTAATTTTTTTATCACACTTCCAATAAAAGTGAGATTTTTTTTTTTGTCAAAGATCTTTAACTATTTTTGTAGTAGTGAACTAAAACAACATTGCCAAACACAAATCAGATATCACGCAAATTTGCTTATCTATATATACATACATATATGTATTGACAGATACATACGCAGATACAAACCAGGTACACACACACACACAGATATATATATGTATATGTATGTATCGACAGATACATACATATATGTATCGACATATACAAACTAGATACACGCACATACATATACAAAGAGAGAGAGAGAGATAGAGAGAACGTACGCAGAGATCGTCTATACACAGAGATTCAGATCGCACAACCAGATCCACCTCACAGCACAATGAGATCGACCACACAGCACAATGAGATTGTTATAACGAAGAGAAATCGAGATTGTACAGGCAAATATTTGATTTTCTTTTTTAAACAGAGCAAATATTTGATTTTTCACGTATATATAGATCTCAAAACAAAGCGTAATACAGTCATTTAAAAAATAAGAAAATAAAAAACGGGACCTCCGGGAACAAATCTTAAAAAACAGTGGACCTATTAGTCTATTAACAATATGTTGGGATTAGAAGAGAAATAGATCCCCCATATAGGACTACATAATAATTTTGCCAATTTGTTAAAATTATAGGCCCACCTGTTTTTATTTTTGTTTCGGACTGAAGCCCATCTCAACTGGATGGGCCGCACTAGGATTGGACCAGCCCAGGGGTTTCAGGCCATATTTACATGCTTCCCTTGGACTCCTAATTATTAGTACCTTATATGCGTACATATGGATAAAACTCTTGGAAATGAAATGAAATAAATTGCAAAGTGAGTGCGTCACTCTCTTTACCCAATGGTATAGTTGTGCTTTTTATGTTCAACATTGGGCATGTTTGGTACAGTTTATATAAATTAGTTATAATTTTTTTTTTTTTTGTG